AACAGCAAAACAGCCAGAGTAATAAAGCAAACCGCATGTACACAAATCCCAAAACAAATGAGTCCTTTTGATAATTGAATATGAACTTGGAAGGAGAGAGAGAGAAAAGAAGGCTGTTAGATCATAATATTTATGCCTTTAACCTGCGACCTGGACGGCACTCAAGGCCGGGGCAACAGTCCCAATGACTCCCTCGGGAATTTCCTCGACACCAACTGAGGCCGAGGATAGAACAGTATGATGGCTTGTTCAAGTAACTGATGTGCCACTTTATCGTCCACAGCTCTTGTAACCCCCAGACTCCTTCTCGTAGCTCTAGTCATGACTGTTCCTGTAGAAGCGCTGGTGACTGAAGAAGCTGAGGATAATGGACCTGAAGTTTTCGTTTTAACTGTAGTGGGGTAGATGTTGTGGTAAGTACAGTTTCAAACGCTTTCTTCTTGAGCGCCGAAACTGCTTTTTTGCTGGTGACTGATTTATGAATAATCTTGCCTTTCCCGCCACGTATTGTCTTATTGACTTTATAGGTCTTTGTGACACGAGGCCTACCAGCTTTGTTGTAATTGCGCCGACGCCGAGCAGCTTCTGAGAGCGAAGATTTTTTAATGTAGCAGGTGACGCCTCAGTCGGGTGATCTGAGTCGTCGTCGGAATCTAAGGAGGAATCCAGGGAATCATCATCTTCCGGTGCAGGGGAAGGCGATATCACAGGTGCTGCTACAACCTTCCGCTTGGTGTACTTCCTCTTAGGGGTGATAATAACCGACTTTTGAACATGGGCTACAACTTTCTTTGGCCTTCCTCTTGTGGGTTTTTTGACTTCGGCAACGATTCCACCCTTGCCATTTATTCCCTTTTTCTTGCCTTTTCCATTCTTGCCCTTAGCTGGGGGTTCGGGCTTTTTCTGGAGCCCATCAGCCCGCTTCCCTAAAGCACCGCGGCAGTTTTCAGCTCCACAGTGGCAAGCTTGCTGACTGACACCCGTAAACCAACTTTAAGAGAGTGTCAGCTTCTCACTTATTCTAAATATACTGAAAGTGGGGGTACTGACTTGAAGTTATAGTCATATGTGAGCTCATCTCCAGCTTCGATTCCATAATCTCCAGCAAACAGAGCCATTCTAGGTTTCCATCAACGAGCCACTTTTCCATTCGGCAGTTGGGATTGCAAGAATCTTCCAAAGGCGTTAATATGTGTTTAAACGCCACAAATTGCAACGGGAACAAAGACTTACGATTAACGAAACGTGCCACTGATCCCCTAGTAGCATCCAGAATCATATTCTGATGGAAGAGCATGAGATAGTAGTTCTTCATGTTTGGAGGTATTATCAGTAACTGCTAAACTCCAGAGGGCCCCGTCTACGATGTGTCCGACCGCTAAGATGGGCTTATCACTCACATTGTTATCCTTATAATCCTCAATCATCCTCCTTTCACTCTCTTCCTGCGTGATAATCTCGCCAGTATACTCAACGACAATCTGCCTGGCGCAAAGCTTCTCGTAGCTCGGAGGCCATGCCCACAGTTCCTGGTCTACATTCCCTCTTGTCAGTAAATTGCCAGCAAAAGAGCCTTCCCATTTCAAAACAACGAGATATGAGCACTACCAGAATGACCTCTACACCCTCGGCGAATTTTGTCCCCTGTTTTACTCGCTCTTTCAGGTCCGCAAAGGCCCTATTACTACAGTATTGGGCACATTACAATTCCTTCGTCGCATTCCACCCAGGTACAAGCGGTTAAGGCAATCTTCATCACAGCCTTTCTCTTCTTCACAGACGCACATCGCCATAGATGCTTTTTCTCTTTTCCATAACTGGGAAGCTTCTCCAATCAAAACATCTACAAACGAACAAGTACGCACATGGATTCACCGGGCATCTAGTTAGCCAACTGACCTTGACAATAATAGAATGGATACAAGTTCCAGCAACTTTGATTATATAAATCGAAAAAGGACCGAAAAAGAAGGGTGGATGTACTATGATTGAGCTTTTTCCAATTGTGAATTGGCCCGCATTTCCAGGGACTCGGCGCAAAAATGTTGAACGGCAGTTTGAAGTCCCGAACGGTATCCCATGATCACCGACCCCGTGAACATAGGCAATGGTAGTACGGCTTGTCGATCCGCACTAGACTTGCCCCGTTTCTTTGCTTTGCCTCCAGGCCGCTTCGGACATCCAAATCCTGTCCCTGCCCTAAATAAAGCCCCTGGTTTAACCAAACCTCTTCTTCTTCTGCGGCTTTTTCGCTTGCGAATTCGCTGGTAGTTCTTCTGATGTTTCACGTGCAATGGAGCTCTCATCGTCAGTGTCCCTCGTTGTACGAGAGATTTTTTTTCGACCTTTTGCTAGCTCTCAATAGAGATCCATCAGCAGCATAATGAGAGCCATTTCCTTGAAGCTTCGCGTTGGCGCTCTTCGATCCAGCGGCCATAACATCGTGAGACCTTTTGCCGCGCGGGGCTGAAGGTGTCGTTGTCTCCAAAAGCTTACTAGTAGCAATTATGCTTAGGCGCTTGCTCTGGCGACGCGTTTTGTCTGCGAATTTTTTGGCTGAAGCTGAAGAGGGGTTTTTTCGCCGTTGATCTAAGCTGTCTTGTTATAGTTTTGATCTCCTTAACCTTCTTTGTGGTTTTTGTGTTGGAAGGGGTTGTCGGAGACTGTCGGGCGCGATCTCGTAATTTACGCGTGTTGCGCGTTTGGTCCTTCTCATCTTCATTTTCGCTCAGATTTTGCCATTCCCTCTCCCTTTGGGCTCCTTCTCCCTCTTCAACTGTTTCGTACCCATTCTCTTTTCCCGTGACATCTTCTATTTCCTCTTCTACTAATTTCACGCCCTCATTCTTTTCCTTTTCAGAGTCTTCCTCTGCAGCGGCGGAAGTTCGTTCTGGAGTTGTGGAATACTTGTCGCCGAAATTGAATTATTGGTTATAGATGCCGAATCAACAACGGACGACGTTGTCGAAGATGGTTGCATGGCAATAGAGCCCAGAATATTTGCCGAATCCGGTGAAAGCGACTTGGGAGGCAGCGTTGACACTCCATTGCGAAGCGTTGGCGGGGGGAGCAGATGAGTTGAGAAGAAGAAGAAAGGAAGGTACGGGAAAGGAGGATGTTAAGAAGAGCTATGACAGAGGGGGGTGCAGGGGGGATGCACGGGAATGCAAGCCGCGAGGAAGGAGGTTTGTGGGGAAACCATTGGGATATTGGATTAAAGGAGCGAGCACGCGAAGACACATGTGTAATATGAGAAAGTATACAACCACTGACCAAGGGTAAAGGGCGGGGTGGAATAGATGAGGAGAGGAGAAGGAGTTGGAGAGGGAGAGAGGAGGGAAGAGGCAACCAGATAGAAAAAAAGAAAAAAGACAACACAGAGTGACTGAAGGAGAGAGGAGGGGACGAGGAGAAGAAGAAGAGGAAGGAGAGAAGAGAGGAGGTGTGGGAGAAAGAAGAGACGAAGGTGATATGTAAGAGATGTAGCACAGTATGGTACAACCACCCTCCAAGCATATTTAGTATCATTTATCTTCCTAGTCTCCGTACACTATACTACATCTATTTTCCCATCGAGCTCAACCATATCCATTCAATTGACGAACCCGCTTTCCTCCGAGTATACTTCATCCCCAACATGGCTTCTAATATCAATATATCCTTATAAAACACCTTCTACTTCCCTAACACCTCTCTTACTCTCTATTAAAAAGGACCTGTACCTCCAATACTTGACCTGTTGCCTTAAATCCTTCTTAACATAGACCACCCCTCATTCATATTTGCCCAGCGATCATCTATATTTACCTACAAACAAATTCAGGATCCTCAAAAAGACCACGCTCAACCTGGGTGTGGGCTGAATGGGAAAATTCATGCGCTACTTTTGGTACAATCAAATTGAGGCTTTATTATGGCATTGGCATCCTGGAAGTAATCCTCCAATCCCAATTATCCCCGCCGCCACCCATTTGCCGGATCCATACATCCACATCCAGTACAACAACAATCAACAGATACATCCCTTGACAGGCGCGGCGGACGCCAATAATTTGCAAGGTTATCATAGACGGCCTATGTACACCGATACGGTGGTAACATCCCTGACAGTACAACTGTCAATATGTCTGTTTCTTCTTAATCTGGCCAGCGAGTGCGAAACTTTGCTTTTTATTTCTTGCCAACAAAGAAACATTAGGTATCGCTTTGGGAAGGGGCTAGAGTTGTAAATCTCGAAATCTGCAGTAAAAAATATGAAGGATGCAGAACGTACGCCACATGCCAACCACACACCCTGCCGCAAGTCTCAAGAAAACCTGGATCGGTGCACTTCCGAAGGTGATGCATGCAGCATATTATCACCTCGGCAATTTTGGAATTCGCATCCTTATATAAACTGTCCTGGAGACAAGGCTACAATCCATATTCCTCGCCCTTACAATCACTCTTCACAATATGCCTTGACAGCAGGGAGCCGACCGGTCAGAAGCACTTGGAATATCTTTCATGGGCACTTATTCGCCCCTCTTCGATGATTGGAAATGTTGTCTCTGACGATCTTACTATGTCCAAAATGAGAGAATCTTAATCTTGTGTATCACGAGGTTTTTACTAGATCTGATCATATTGTGTGTCGAAGGGCTGCATACAGTCTCGACTTGCCGGTCCAGTTGATCAATACATGTAGTTTCGAATGGAGTAAGTGATGATATCACTTGCTCCCGGAAATGCATGGCTTGCGGAGAGCACCCTCAACAAGTCAGAGAAATAAGAAGGGCTCGAAGTATTGTCCAATTGGACTTTAAGATTAGAGAGGTTTAGATTTGATTTCCTGATATATCTACTTCTGATGGTGGGAAGACGGTTGCAGCTCGATCGAGTAACGTTCCCCTCCTCAAAACCCACCAGCTCCAGTCACTCACATAAGATACGAAAAGATTATCTATACTATGTGTGTACTCTTACCGCGGACCCCCGGTGGAAGCGTTTCGCTTGAAACTGGTCACATATGCACGAGGCTCGAGCACTAATCCTCCACCGTCTTGACAACGGGCATACAACACGACCCAAAAGACGAATACAGTGCTCGAAATCATGATAATTCTCATTTCGCGCCCTCCCAAAGCTAAACATATATATATTGGAGTCCACTTCATAGGTTCTCACTCGGGTACTCGCTTCTTGCCTGTGGACGGGTATTCCCGGTGTTATCATTGAAACAAACGAAACTGGCCAATTGGAGAGGCCAAAAGAGATAAAATGTGTCTGCAGGAAATACATCGCACGTCAAGGCTTTACCCACGATACTACCCTAAGAATTTAGTAACTGGTCGAGATAAGGTCCCAATTTCTTTAGTTGTTATAAGTGTCTAACAGAGATTATGTTTCTTAGAGTAACATAGATATGCTATCTAGAAAATCATTAGGATATAACATGATAGGCCTATGACTACAGAAACCTCATATATTCAAGCTTTCTATATGCTTGGGGTGCAAGACCTACATAGATCTAGCTATATAAAGGCTGCAAAGCCATGCTTATCTTCAAAGAAAACATTTAGGACTGGAATTCGTGAAAGTAAGTCTCACGGACCCAACAAGATTGGCCATTACATCATAAATGAGTTAATTATAGACTACAGTTCATGTAGTCATTTAGTAGGTAATGCTTGTAATAGGTATGATAACAGGCCGGTACAATGGTAGTATTTAGCCATAAGTATGGCTAGGTCTGAGTTGACGACCACTCGTTGGTATGATGGTCGATCGATACCAAATGCCACAATAGTCATAACTACATTTAGTCTCTCCAGAATTTTTTTAAGCTCGAGAATAGTCAAAAGTATCGAATCCCCATATATTCCGCCGGAATCACTACATATATTAGAAGTCAAAATCAAGTATGCAGTAGCAGCAAATTACGCTTTTCCGCGCTTTCTTGTTTAATCCTCATATGATATGTACCTATTGATAAGCGATCGTTTAAAGAATTGTAGACAATATTAAATGGGTTTGATCATTTTCTTATATGTCTTGATTACCATCGAAATCCTAATTTCGCGATGCATTCCTATATCTAATGTTGGTACTTTGAATCTGGAGAGCAAGCCAGAACCTTACTTGCCATCAACTTCACTAACTCAGTCGCGCAGTACCATGCTATCCTTCATGAGAGCTTGAACTTTGGGTCGGATACTAGGCTTTTGAACTTCGTTCTTTGAACCTGTGTCCACCGAGTGATATTTTATGACGCCCAATGAATTACTACGCTGACAAAGTTTATGATCACATTAGGCCATAGTCTTAGATAGATATGCTCTGGCTCGTGGCAGCCTTGCAGTTGTATTATCGCTTCTCTGAACGGATGGGTGGCTATGTTTGATGCGAGTTCGCATCACTGATCACTAACTGAATTTCGTTTCTAGTCCCCTGGATCCTTGTATTTGTAGTTAACTTCTCGAGTTAATAAAGTTGACTTTTTTATGGAAATTTTAGTCTTAGGACTAGACTTCCTTATGTGGTCATATATGTTACTATATCACCTAAATGCTCTTCCTTAATAAGAAAGCCTTGAGATTTACATGTAGTTCTTGAATATATAGCCAGAAAGTTCTCTACCACGTGCACTTAATTTGAGCAAAGCCAATTTACACCCCACCAGTAACACACTGGCAGAATTCTTCCCGCATCATTTGACCCCAGCTTCAGTGGAAGGCACAGACGTGTGTATATGGTCACGTGTTCTGCAACCTCTTATTGTGTTGAACGTGGTTAGTAGTCCCCTTCGTTCTTCGTGAGTCCACCCGGCCTGCGGATCTGATCGCGCCTATAGTAAATTATAAAGATTTGCTACTATATCGGTGTATCGAAGATATATATACGCTACATTAATTTCATTTTGATCTCTCTTGAGAGAGCTTCAGGTAGATCTTCTTAATCTGTTATCGCATCGACTTCGTCATGTGGGCAGCTAGAGGGAAAAGTTGTGACTAGTACTACTATGTAGATATTTGATAAGATATCACCTAGTAATAGAGTATTCAGTTTTAGGGCAATTAGATTTTAAAAAATGACACTCTAGTATTAGATTATACGTTACGATTGACAATAATGAGTTCCATTGCTGCTCTGACGTGATCGTCCCCGTGAGGATATACATGTATACATATAAGCCGAGATGATTTTTGGCCGAGATCACTTAAGTATATGTGTTTTGTGACGGCTTAGAGTTGAATGGCAATTGCTGAGATTCATTATATAACGTAAGAACATTAGCCAGTGAGTCATTGAAGTGGCTCGATAATAGATAGATTCCTTATAGTTATCTTGATTGATCATTGTCCAAGAGGAGAGGAGACTCTCGCCCTCCTAACTACATGTAACTGCATACTGATGACATGTTGGCCAATGCCAAGACTACTTGTGTCCTTTCCTCGTAATCACTCTTGGCGTGGCTAACACTCGCCGCTTACTCACCACTACTCGTACTCTTTCTTATCATCATACACAGCTCCTGCAGTCATGCGTGCAACCCATGTAGGCGATGCATTTAATGATGATGCTATTCTTATATATATCTGGTGTGATATATTTATGGACATATATAGCAGCTCAAGTCGGGATGGGTACGTCTCATTATAGATAAAAGTACATATATTGGACTTTTACATGAGCATAAGGTACATGCAAACATTTTACTTCAGGGTTAAGCGGGCACAAGACTCTAGGCATTGCTTAGTAACTACTTGAGTCATCATCGTGCTCCCTCATGGCTTAGATCATCCAAGGGTAGCTGCGTCTAGGCTAAAGGTGAGCTCGAGATGTGTGTGCCTGGCCGGGTAGACATCCTACCCGTACAGAGCTTCTTCCACGTCCTTCCGTTTATTAGTTATTGACTTAATTTAGCTCATATCCACCCATTTTCTATGAGTTTTATCGAGATGTAATTATTTAATATTGACTACTTCATACTCGAATTTATGTAATAGAGTAATTGATACTTCGAAATTGACGGTTGCAAGAGGAAACCAGAGCGGCGGAGCCGAAAT